TCATCATGAATAAAGAGACTAATAAAGCCGAAATTATTACCTGTGCCCTGGTAAGTCAAACATTCAACAGTACCATAGCATTCACTAGGCTTCAGACAGACTCACTCTGTCTTGAAATAAAACATTTAGAGATAGATCCATCATTTAGTATGTGGTTGCTTTTATCAAGTGATATAACCCAGAGTGTTTGCTACCGGAGAGGAACATTTATTGAGTTTTACTTCGTGCATGTGCAAGAAAAAGAAGCAATTTATCAATTTAGTTCAGGTAATACAGTTACAGCAACAGCTTATGGTAGGCTGCAAATATACAACAGGTCAGATCCTCACATAGCCCATGTAACTTCTCCCAGAGTATCCTGTTCCCAAGTAAATAAGAGACAGGTAAATTGAAATTTGGTTTAAGGTGGGTGGTGTGCTGCAAGCTAAAAGTGCTTACAGCACTATAGCTACTGTGGAGAAATAGATGCTTAATCATATGTTTACATGCCTGTACAATCAGTTCAATTAAATTACTGTCAAAACCGTATTATTGAATTTTTCCCCTTTAGGAGGACTAAGTAGAGCCTGAGGAAAGGATGAATTCTGAATAAGGGGAATATGGTATGTAGGTCAGCAAAATTTCCTGGAAAATCTGAATTTAAAAAGGGAGAAAAATTGCTACAACTCACTATCTCAAACCATGTAGGGTTGTCTGGATGGATATTCTCATGAAACATACAATGGTAGAAATCCTTCAGTGAATTTTAATGTGTTTCTCTGTCGGTGCCCTAACTCAACTGGTTAGGCCCTGGGCAATGAATTTCTAAGTTTCAAGCACTTCTTCAGGTACAGATATTAGACACAGAGATTATTAGATGATGGCTAAACTTTTTTTACTGCTACTTTTTTAAACACCTAATATTGTATACCAACCCAAATACTAGTTGCCACAAATTTAAGTAGTAATATTGAACACTACATTTTTCACCTCTTAAGCCATTGCTGCTTTTCCACAAAAGGTTACAAGCTCAAGCTCACAAAGCTCTATGCCATCAGAGCATTTGGGATTGTAAGAGTGAAAAAGATCAGGTCAATATTTACATCAGGTCCTTTAACAACAAAAAGTGTTTGGCATGTGCACCCTATTATGGCTGTTCAGTTAACAGGAGCTCCTGTAGTGTGTAATTGAGCTGCGTGTTTCTGGCACTTCTGAAAGTCAGATTACCTGCGTATTTAGGACCTTAAATCTCAGTTATGCAGTAATTTTCTGGAATGAAGCTTGTATCGGGGCTAGAGTTTAAATATGGATGCCAGAGCCTGAGTGTTGTTTGAAAATTCAGACCATAATTCAGAAGCTAAAGATGTAGCAAGTATATACACCAAATATCATCATAACTAGTGTTGTTGACATAGTGTGGTCTGTTCTGGGAATTTATAAGAACTTGAATAAGGGACTGAGGCTGATAGTACTACGTGCTATACAAATACAGAACAAAAGATGTTTTTAAAAAAAACAGCAATTAAAATTAAGGGTGTAGAAAACTGATATGATACATAGTGTGGTTCTAGAATTAGAAGCCTTAGTCTAAACACAGGTATATTTTTTAACTATTATCCATTTATTTTGATGGTAGGTATAACAAATCAGATAATTTTTTTTCTGAAATTTCTTAACTTACACTATTGTTACAAACATTTACTCTGCTGGAATGAATTAAAAAAACCCTAAACAAACAACAAACTGTGGTATGGTAGAGATTATAAAATTAAGAGAAAATCTGGGCACCTTTAGAGGTATGGGGTTTAATTTTCTGCAATAAAATGCTTGAAATTTTTGGGGTGCATTGCTACAAACAAGAAACATTAATTTTGTCTCTCAGTAAGCACAGAACACAATTAACATATTTTTTTTAAGCAAAACTGCCTCAAAATTTTCCATGAATACTTGAAGTTTTTTAAAGGCTTGAAGGCTTTTAAAAGGCTTGTGCCTTAAAAATTCTATCACCATTCTGCTGTCTAAAGGCTTCCCTTTTAGCACTGAAGCTTAATTTTGTGCTTTATGATGTCATAGCCCAGACCTTTAAGCTAAAGGGAAAAATTTGTAATTAGCTCACAGATCTGGAGTCGCTGGAGTTTGAATTTTAGGTAGAGACAAACACAAAGAAGGTATTTGGCAGCTTATTGTTTTGACAGAGACATTGACAGTTGTCTGGTTGAAGAAATATGCTTTAGTTAATATTAATGGATTTAATCTATTTTTCCTGTTTACTTTGGTTTTGCAAAAAAAAAAAAACCAACAAAAAAACCCCTACTTTAATGAAACAAACCCAGTTTATTGTGATTATTTTAAAATACACTTCCAATATTGTTAGTTAAATTTGTCTTACTAAAAAGTCTATATCACCTTTTTATATATATTCTTATAATGTAATATATAGTTTCTGTATTTCAGAAATATTGCTGCATGACTGCATTGAAGGGCTATGTTTTAAAGAAATCTATAGTATAAAAATGTAAAGAAAAAAGCTATTTTTGGTTCTTTTGCAATATTGTTGAACACAGTGTTTTCTGAAAACTGATATATAGCAAGGCCTGTCAAATATATGGCTATTACATTAAAATTTTCCATTGAAAAATTAAGTTTTTTCACCTTGCTGTATGTAGTATTATCTTTACCAAACACAGGGAAATGTAGGGAAAATCACACATCTGTAGGTGATCTTATCTGGCTATTATAAGGAAATTTGGGCTGTTTTGAGTGGCAGCTACCAGAGAGATACACAAACATTTAAAAATAATTATACTAAATGCATATAAGGGACAAGGTTACAGTAAGCATAATGTGGTGGGGGAAATTGTTATAAAAATCAGTGCACACTGTGTTTACGGTACTGCCTGAATTATCTTTCTTCTGGTGATTTGTTTTTCTATTTATTTAAAAAATAAAGCCTGAAAGTCAATCAGAGAATATATTTTATCAGATTTGGAAAACATGCAGTTCTAATAAACTGGGGGAAAAAGCCACCTATGATAATGAACACCAATTTTCCTGGGAAAAAATGTAGTTCCCTAATTCAGAGCAGGCATTAGAATATGAAATAAAGATTTTTAAGTATCAGATGGAATTTCTATTCCTTTCTGAATCATTCTTATTTTTGTGCATTCATGGATATGTCCAAAGCATCCATAAACTAAAAATGGTCTCTAATGCAAAGATAAAACTTGCAGAACATTGGGCACCAACTGGAAAATTATTTTATTTCACCTACCAGTGGATGATTACTAATACACAGATTTCCTTTGCCTTTGTGTTCAGAATACTTACATGTTTTTGTAAGCCATCTACCCACAATTTATAAATAGGAAATAAAATAACCCTCAAAAGCCAAACAACTTCTCCTTGTCGCCATATGCTGCATCTTTTCCCCCTAGGTTTTGTATACTCTGTATGCTGAAGAATGGTGTCTTTTCTTTTCATGTAGCTCTGTCGGCGGTCATAACAGCTATTCTCTTCATGAATATGTAAATCCCATGCATAAAATCAGAAAAATTAGCATGGCGATTCCCATTATAGAACGTGTCCAATTATGTCTGTCTAATACGTGAATAGTGATGATTTAATCTTTTGACTATATGAGTGGATTCAGGTACTGTTACAAGAGATGCTATAATTACAGAATACCCAAGCACACAAGCTGGATGCATGCACAATCTGGGGGATCATCAGGCTTTTAATAGGAACTGGGCATCTGATGTGTGGCTGTGATGGAGTGCATGCAGATTCATTTATAGGCGCTTACTCTGATGGTTAGTGACAGGGGAGAAAAATGCCCTAGGTCTGAAGTACCCTTCCCTTTACTAACTGAGACTCATTTACATTTAAAATTTGGGTTTGTTTCTTTTTTTTTTTGTTCCTACTCGATGCTTGTAATTAGAACAGAATGAATAAAAGTTTGGATAAATAAAGGGAGAAAATGGTGACCGTATTTGCTAGGCTTCCTTAACTCATTTGGTTTATCAGGAATGGGTGTTGGAGGGGGAGGAAGGACATTCAGAAAACAAAAACAGAAAGGCACCACCAGCAATTGATGATTTTGTATTTAAATAAGCAGGCGTGCTCATGCATATTTATATGACGTGCATGCCTATGCGCCGCTCTGAGCAGTGGCACTGCGGCTCAGCTGCAGTAATTAGGCTGATGTAATTATGGCAAAACAAAGCAAGCTTAGGCTGATATTTTTTTCCATACAGTGGGAACATTAAAGACATATGCGTATTCCAGTGTACAAAAAATAAACCCGAACTGCTGTCAGAGGCTAGGAGGACAGTGTGGCCAGTGCACCTATTGTGTCACTGCTGCAGAAAGCAGCTTAGCGATTGGCCACTGTCTGCAGCACATAATACTGACTGGTTATAAAGGACTTGTCTAGAGGAAAGCCTGTAGGTACTCCATTGTCTAGCAAAGTTGATATGACTGCATTCTTTTTGCAGGGGGTCAGACAGCTGAACTGTAAAAGCTGCACAGATTTTTTTTTTTTCCCCTTCTTCCTCTGTCTCTCTCTCTGTCTCTTCCATACAGCATTTTTCTTTCACGCCCTGTCTCAGTTTGCATAGTTAAAGAGAATGCTAATTAAGATCCCTTGTCTTAACCTGAAAATAATGACTTGGATGTAAATAGAAAACTGGCGAGAGTTTAAAATATTCTTGCATAGCACCAAGATATATGGTACCGTTCTAGGGGAAAAAAAAATGAAGATTTTTTTTTTTTTGTAATTAAGGTAAACAAAGAAGAGTTGTTGCTTTTCTTTCATTCTTCTTTCTTTTTTTTTCTTTTTTTTCTTTTTTTAACCCAATGATGCTGTGCTATTGAAGGTTAGATAATGTTTTATTGCAGAAAGTGTGCTAGCTACATAATTTAAAAGTCCACAAATCAGTTGCAATTTAGTGCTTATTAATCCTTCTTAGGATGTAATTCGGTGAAAGAACTGCTTTAAAAAAAAATTCTTTTCTGTATTATAGACGGATCTAGCAACGCAGTCTGGGCTCCGTGCCAAAGGCTGGTATTTCACAGCAGCGACCGCCTTACAGATGAGCTGTGGGAAGCAGGAGGGAGACTCTCTTAGGGTGCCACTACTATGGAGACACAGCTGGGCTGAACAAGATTTGCTTCAAACGACAACAAGAGAGACAGAAAGTGTCTGGTTCGACCGCTGCCCAAGCAGGCAGTAACCAGAAGAGCTAGCAGCCAATCCGGCCATGCTGCACTGTTCGAAACCAGCTCTACATCCCAGCCAATCAGTGACATCACTGGTGAGAAACTCATTTACATCATGCAGTAATGAACTTTGTTTAACGTATCCTTTTTTCTTTTCTTTTTTTTTCTTTTTTTTTTTTTTCCTCACAGAGATTAGGTCCTCCATTAATTATTCTGCCAGCATAATTTGAATCGCTATACAAAACGGGGGCTACATTTTTCTGATTTTTTTTTAACTGTGTGCTGTCTCTGCAGGTAACCATGGGCATTGTTCCATTTTGGGTTGGTTTTTTTTTCCTGTTGGCCCCATAAAACCTTTAAGAGTCTTTTATTATTAATATTGTGCATATATTTTTCTTTCATGTATATTTGTCTCCTTGTAGTCCTTACCTAATGTGGTACTGCTTCCTCCAATTATAGTCTGAGATTACCTTTAACCATCTTGGAAGGTAAAAAGGGTGTTGCTGCAGCACTGAGTTTGCATCTTTAGCTGCCATCACGGTCTAAGTACTTTTTCTAATGCTTTAGAAATCATTTCACTGTGGCCATTTTACATATCTGGCTTTCTCTAAAGGTTCTTACATGCATCTGTTACAACTGAGTGAAGTTCAGTACTGTTATATTTCATTCTTCACCACTTTCAGCCAAGATGTCATTTTATTAATAAATAGAACTGAGATCATTTCTGAACAAATTTCACCCCCTTCCATCCACCTCAATACAATGCACCTGATTTGCATCCATTTACCGGAATAACAGAATACAAGAGGCAGTATGAAAGGAAGTCAAGGGATAGCTTGCATACTGCTTCAGGGTATGTTGCAGCAAAGTGAAATACAGAATTTTTGTTTAGCTATTTCTCTCTTTACTTCTTAACCTACATAGAAAAGATCAGATCTTAGCTTGAAAAATTATTCTCTACACATTTTTTTTTTGTATTAGGAAATAGATTTGGTGTTTGGGTTGTTTGTTTTTTGTTTTTTTTTTTTAATAATAAACATGCACATTTTCTTGAGATGTGTTCAATTAAAATGGAAAACGTTTGGACAAGCCAACATTGTGTTGCACATTTGGATTTAGTTCTTTGTGGGTAAAGTAATTTGTTGTGCGAACAATTTAAAACTAGCCCAGAATACTGTGGAATGCAGAGATTTCAGACTGCAAATCTAATGAGGCAAGATTTTTCTCTTCAGTATTCTAATAGCTGAAACAGAATCAGATATTAGACAAATTCAATATTGTGCTACTAAATTAAAACCATATCTATTGCTTGTGGGCTTTGGGAGGTCAAGTCTTTGCTAAAGCAAAATTTTATTTAACAACTATTCTTAAATAGAATTTTTGTCACAACATGGTAATTTCCCCCCTTCCACACACACAATAATGTACAATTAGTTTATGGAGCTTCAGTTATATATTGACCCTTGTAGTCACTTTGAACGTACCAAGGATTTAAACACTAAACCATAGCTCTTTCAATGCATGATGCATTCCATCATCCCATCATCAGTATTCTGTGTGCGGCTGTCCTGATTCAGCCACTAGCTCCCCTGCTGCAGATCCTGTAATTTGAATCATGCGTAATAATATATTATCCTACTGGGGGCCTTCTTTCAGTAGGAGAGTGGTTTTATACCTTCTGCTATAAGAGAACTGTTGGCTTCTTGCCATCTCGTAGCCATTATTCACGAAGGCAATCAAGATAGTCTTCCTTAAGGAATAACATCTGCACAACTGCATGTGCCAGAAATATGCAGCCTTCCCTCACGTTGTAAATTTTGTTTTCTTGGAAGCAGGAATAGTTGAGAATACTGGAGCATAAAAACTGGACATTTACAGGAATTCTCAAAAGTGTATTGAATGTACCATGTGCTGAAATCCAGCTGGTGAGGACATTTAGAGTGGCTAACAGGGGCAGAGGAGCAGAAAATAGAAGCTGGAGGCTATTATGTGGCTCTTGCTCAACTTTTTCAAACTCAGATTATTGATTTATCTGATGATTAGTACTATATTAAAAATGTGATGTTTTCCTTGCTGACAAGGTACTTTTTTATCTAATGTGCTGCGTTTCCCAAGTTGAGAATCTAACGTTATTTGATATATTCAACAGGATGCATTATCAGTTAGTAGTGAATAAAAAACAGATATAAAAAGGGTCTAAGAATATAGAAAATATGGAAACTTCACAATGAAGTAGCAGATCTCAGAAATGCAGAATCTGAGAATACTCTGAAAATACAAGTTTATGCATTGTATCTGTTGTTAAAAGCTCTGTAGGGCATCTGAAGGTTAGTGAAAGCAACTGTGTGGGGGCAGAGAAAGAAAAACTTCAGATCTGCTCAACTCTGTCATCTATAGAATGTAGATTGCTGCCATATGTAGCATATCTACCAACACTGTGGCCTGTTCTCTTTTCTTTCATTCATGTAGCTATCATCCCTAAACCACAAACAAAAGCCCATCAAGATCTTTTGTTTTACAAATATTCTTTTCATTTGATCATATAGAGAAGTGGAATTTTTTCTTACGCACCAGTGGTTAGACAATTCCTGTTAGCAGTAGCAGAGGTGTTATTTTCGATTCAGGGATGAGAGAGATAAAGCATTGGGGAGAAGAAGAAGAAAAATCCAATTTAGAATTTTTATCTTATCGTGGAGCATATATATTCCTCATCGAAGAACAATAATACAACTGTAGTAACTAATCCTACACAAACTGCATTTATTACAGTACTGTTGAGACATACAGAGATGAGAGGGAGTCTTCTTGTTGCCATCATCTCCTGTTTTACCTTCTAAAAGACAGAAAGAAGATCCATAACGTGGCTGAAGATTGGAAGTGCTAACATTTAGGAACAGATTTGCTTCTGAGACTAGAGGAATGATAGTTAAATATCTGGCTAACATTTAAGGAATCTTCTTAGAGGGAAGGCATAACCCCAGCACCTGAAAAATCTGTCATGTTTAAAATACTGTACAAAAAAGATTGGCATTCTTTAAAGAAATAAGGGAAATGCAGTCATGTGGCCTAGAAATGAACTAAAGTTTAGACAAACAAGTTGGTGGTTACTGCTTACTCTCCAGCTCACACCAACCTACTAGTGAGGAAGGAAGCTTCACAGACCATTAATGCTCCCTTGAAGAACATCCTCCATAAAGTCCTTGAGCTTTCCATTCTAGGGATCACGTGGAAAAACAATACAAAAGAATATAAAGATTTGATAGGTGCCAGGGAGACAAATCATCTTTATGACAGCTGAACTCTACTTTGAAATGAGGAAACAGAGTAAGTAGAGTATGGCATTTGCCATAGTTCATCCTATTTAAGAGAAGAGTTATAACATTCTGGAGGATAAGCCAGCAAGTAGCCACTGGAAATTACATGTTCTTTTTTAATTCCGTGAACAAATACATTGTTCTTGATTCTGTTCTTGTGTGCTGGCATTTCTGCTTTCTGATGGAAGTCCTAACAAAAAGTCCATTCAACATATTGACAGTGGGATTGAGTGCAGCCTCAGCAAATTTGCCAATGACACCAAGCTGTGTGGTTTGGTTGATATGCTGGAGGGAAGGAATGCCATCCAGAGGGACCCTGACAAGCTTGTGAGGTGGGCTGATGCCAACCTTATGAAGTTTAACCATGCCAAGTGCAAGGTCCTACACCTGAGTCAGAGCAATCCCAGGCACAGCTACAGGTTGGGCAAAGAAGAGATTCAGAGCAGCCCTGTGGAGAAGGGCTTGGGGGTGTTAATTGATGAGAAGCTCAACATGAGCCAGCAGTGTGTGCTTGCAGCCCAGAAAGCCAACCTTATCCTGGGCTGCATCAAAAGGAGCGTGACCAGCAGGTCAAAGGATGTGATCCTGCCCTTCTAATCTGCTCTCGTGAGACCTCACCTGGAGTATTGTGTGCATTTCTGGTGTCCTCAACAGAAAAAGGACATGGAACTGTTGGAACAAGTCCAGGGGAGGGCCACGAGGATGATCAGGGGACTGGAGCACCTCCCGTATGAAGACAGGCTGAGAAAGTTGGGGCTGTTCAGCCTGGAGAAGAGAAGGCTGCGTGGAGACCTCATAGCAGCCTTCCAGTATCTGAAGGGGGCCTATAGGGATGCTGGGGATGGACTCTTCATTAGCGACTGTTGTGACAGGACAAGGGGTAATGGGTTAAAACTTACAGGGGAAGTTTAGATTGGATATAAGGAGGAAGTTCTTTACTGTAAGGGTGGTGAGGCACTGGAATGGGCTGCCCAGGGAGGTTGTGAATGCTCCATCCCTGGCAGTGCTCAAGGCCAGGTTGGATGAAGCCTTGGGTGACATGGTTTTAGTGGGAGGTGTCCCTGCCCATGGTAGGGGAGCTGAAACTAGATGATCTTAAGGTCCTTTACAACCCTAACTATTCTATGATTCTATATTTCTTCTAACAAAAGCCTATTATTTCAATATCTAATGTTTCTAAGTAGGACACCTACATGAGGAGGATACAGAGAGTGGTAAATGTTTTCTTCCATGACATGGTCTATAAAACGCCTACCTTTTGCAGCTCAAGTTGTACCATTTATAACGAAAACAATGAGATTGCATGGCAGACCTGACTGCTAATGTGAAAGACTACATTTAAATTTTTATATCATATCTAATTTTTTATAGTTCAAGAGAATGTTCCTGTTTCTTCAAAGAGTTAATTTTTTAAACAAACAGATTAATTCAATCAGTTCTTAGAATTAAGGGTGATCATACTGGGGAAACACACTAAGAAACCAGTAACTTCTAGGTTCCTCCTTCAAAAATAAGAAGAGTAACTGTGAGGAAGATGTAATTGTTTCTTTTTTGTTGATGCCCTTTCAGCTGGTATGTGTACATCCTCTCTTTTTGCAGCATGCTACATTGAATTGGTTTTAATACTAAAGAATAAATCAAGCCTAGAATACCCTGTATATGTTTACCTAAAAGCAGAGGATATTGAACGATTAAACACACTAGATTCTTTTATAGGCAACAGTCAACAGAAAGCTATAGAGAAACATCTGCCCTTGCTGAGTTTGTTCTAAAACTCTAGA